AAAAAAAAAACAGAAAAAGAAGGCAAAAAAGAAAAGAAAAAAAATCAAAAAACTCATAAAACAAAAAAAAAAGAATGAAAAAAAAAATTGGGGAGAATGACAATGAAGAGAATTGTGCTATTTTATTCTTATGTTAGATACATTTTGTGAAGTTATACAGTCAAAATGACTTCTTTTGGGATTGAGCTCCGTTTGTGAAGAATTTGAATGATTGCTTTGATTCTCATAGCCTAATATGTCTTTTTTTTTTCCTACCGTACCTAAGCCCCATTACAGCCCATTTAAACCCTTCGATTTTGTGTGTTCATATTAATTCTTGGGTGGACGAGCGTGATATATTTGCAAGCTTATGGTAAAATCCTTCATTGTCTTGACTTGAGCGTACACTTTATATATTTTGCCTATACACATCCGAGCGTTGAGTGCATCTTGTGAGAAGTTGTCGAATCTCATGCGTTTTAAGTTATTTGATTGTTGAGGTGATTATTCATTGATGTTGGTTAATGAGGATTCTTTCTTAAGCTATGTTTCTGATGTGTGCAAAATATTTTTGGGTTGGTAACAAATGATAGAGATGGTTATGAGATGAGATGATGAATTTGACTTGATGCTTGAGGACAAACATCGTTTAAGTGTGGGGTGATTTGATAAGTCGTATTCTTAGCATGTTAATTGTCATGTTTTTCATACTTTTTGGTGATTATTTGAGCTTAATTATTGATTTTAGTTGATTTCCATAATTTTTGTAGGATATCTTAGAATTTGGAATTTATGATGATTGGAGGGCGAAAGAGACGAATTTGAGCTAAGGCGTGGGCATACTAATATGGGATATCCCTGTGGAGACGAGCGGTGATAATGTTCCACCGCATGTGAACACATTTGCCGAGATTGATTTAGGGGAATCAGTGAATCTTAATAACCGCAGGTGCAAATATGTGAAGCCAACTCCTGTACAGAGGCATGCTATTCCAATTTCGCTGGCCGGAAGGGATTTGATGGCTTGTGCTCAGACTAGGTCGGGAAAGACTGCAGCTTTCTATTTACCGATTATAAGTGGGATTATGAAGGGTCATTTGTCTCAGAGGCAGCGTGGAGTTCGTACGGTTTACCAACCTTTCTTTGCATTTGTGTATGATGTGTATATATATGTGTGCGTGTATACATCATAGTTTGAGTTAATTTAGACAATCTCCAGTACCATATCTTATAGAAAGTAGCAGTCCTTTTTTCGTTGGCATGCTTAGTGAGATGGTTAAACTAGTTATCAGTCTTGATGCATTTTATGCAATTCTGCTGATGACAATTTTATTATTGTAACAGAATTTACCAACCTTTCTTTCACAAGGAAAGAGGAAAGACTTTTCTGAGGTCAGTGGCAAAATTAATAAATTGTGTTTGGAGTTTTCTTCTTTGTGTCTTTTCCTATCTGCTCCTCTGTTTTGCAGGATAATAGAATATAGAAGAGAGCAAAGTTTATAGTTTCTGAAGAAGATGAAGACAATGACAGATCACTATGATTCATGTGAGGCAGACGGAGATCAATTATTTGATCGTGTTTGTGCATTTTGTGATGATGGTGGTGACTTATTGTGGTATGCAAGTGCTTCTTGATTTTAATGATATCTAAACATGCTTTAGTAGTAATTTGGATACTCTATTTGTATGATTTCTAGGTGTTAGGGCCTAGTAAATAGATTTTATAGTATGAAAACTGAAAAGTCCTATATGTTATCAGTTTTGGGTCCCATTAAATTCATTAACTTGATTTACATATTCTATATCAAGGGTGTGCCATCTCCTAATAGGTTGTTGAATTAAAAGCTAAAGTAATGATTGAGATGTGATATTTTGGAGTCTATCAGGTAAGTTTGGCAATTAGAATTATGTATTCGAAATGTTATTTTATGTGAAAATGGGAGAGGAATAGTTACTTCACAAATAAAATTTTGATGAACAAACATATCTTTTCTTTTGTGAATACTGTAAAACGGAATCTGTTATTGGAAGTATAACCATACATAACCATTGCTCTTATTTTCAGATAAATTCTCCTTGTTCCTACGACAACTTTCCTAGATCTTTTCGTGGAACATCCCTTTGTCTTCTGATATGGTCAGAAAGAGATTATTCTCAAGTGTCGGCAAATAAACTACAGTCTTTGCACCATATTTGTCAAATTTTTAGTTTGGATTGTAGTGCTTCAGTCTTCCAAAAGATTACTATTTTTTACACTTATGACTGGGAGAATTCTTTTTATTGTATCATAGTCTTGGTTTTTTGCCAAGTTGTTGTTTGAAATATTTCACTTCCTATGCAGTTGTGAAGGAAGATGCATACGATCTTTTCATCCAACTATAGAATCTGGTGCTGGCTCTTCTTGTGAATCTCTGGGTTATAGCAGCGCACAAGTTCATGTATGAAAATAAACCCCAATCCACCTCCTGGAAATCTACTTTTTGATTCGTCATGTGCACGCATGTCTATGATATAGGAGTATGTGGATTCATTGTTCCTTTGTAATACTCGTTTATCTCATCAGAATGATAAATGATAAGTGGTTATCTTGCAGGCCATACAGATTTTTATGTGCAAAAATTGCCAAAATCAAAAGCATCAATGCTTTGTTTGTGGTAGGCTGGGCAATTCAGATAAATCTCCTGGTACTGAGGTGCAACTTCTGCTGGATATTTGAATGAAAGGATTTATGAAACCTACTTGTTATACTTCCAATATTTGAACTTCGATGCTTGTTTTTTAGTACTAACGTCACTCTACATCATTGTAGAAGCTAGCATGACTAGTCTTTTCTTTTGAGTCATTGAGTTTCTATGTGGATTGTGGAAGCTGCGTTTAGTAACACGCCTGAAATTAATCATTTTGACTTGAGTGGTCACGCATTGTTATTGGGAGTTCGTGGTTCTTTTGCATTAATCAAGATGTTAGTTCACAATAAGTATGGAGGAGCAGCACTTGTGAAATTACCTGAAGTTTGCACTGACATAGTACTTTGATAACACACATGTATGGGACAAACTTCTGACCTTATATCTTGATCAAGTATCCTCCGTCCATATTGTTTATGATTTTAACTCAGACATTGATTGTAAATTTCCATTGCATTAGGACGGAACCTTTGTTTGGATTTTGTTTTGGATTTTGTGTTCCGATAGTTGTCATTGCTGCTGAGGACATGTATGCTAAATAGGATCTCTTGACCTAACTTTGTTGATAATCTCTTAAGGTGTTCCCTTGCATCTCGGCGACATGCGGGCATTTCTATCATCCACAATGTGTTTCAGAGCCGATTTTCCCCAGAGAAAAGAATAAAGCTCAAGAACTCCAGAAGCAAATCCAAGCTGGGGAGGCATTTACTTGCCCAGCCCATGTATGTTGTATCTGCAGGCAAGGAGAAGTTAAAAATATTATGGACATGCAATTTGTAGTCTGCAGACGCTGCCCAAAGGCATACCACCGCAAATGCTTACCAAGGTTGCCCTGAAAAGTTATAATTGTCTATATTTCTTTCACTAAATTGGCAGGCAAAGATTGATTGTCTTACTGTGTTTTTAAGTACATGCTTTATTTCTAACATGCTGATTAGTTTCGTAAACCAACAGTGATAGTACAGTTTGACCTGATGATTAATAGTACATGTTGGTTGTAGGATTTACCTGCTGCGGTTGATGAGGAAGACATGTTAACTTTGTTGCTGTCGTCGAGGAATTTGATAGTATGACTCAACTTGAAACTGAATATATTTTTATTCAGTATGTCTTTATTGTTAATATGTTGCAGATTCCAGCTAACCTCTTCACGTTTATGATGTACTGTAGGTTGATACTTTTTGGAACGTGTAGCCATGAGTTAGTTGAGCATGGGCGGATACGCAAAAGAATGCTAAGTTTTCATAAACAATTTTCTTTAGTATTCATTATCTCTCGTGTTTAAAAATGTTACCGAGATGTAAGTGTATCCGACATATCATGTTAATGGCCCTATACTGCATTATTAAATGTTCTACGTATGTAGTGTATCCGACATATCATGTTAATGGCCCTATACTGCATTATTAAATGTTCTACGTATGAAACTAGGTAAAACAAGCCCCTTTATATCTTTTCTTGAATCCACTATTTTTGTCATTTAACAAAAATATATTTTTGTTTCGAAAAACAATATGTTGTCAATGCATCTCTATTGCTAAAATCTTCATCTTCCGATAATGTGCATATCTTTCTAGGGGAAAAACACGAACTTTTGATATTATTTTTGGCCAGGAGCAAGCCTCCAACCCAAAAATAAGATTTGAGTACTAAAGGTCTCTCTCGGGGGGCCTCTAAAGCCCCGAAGCAAACTTGCAGACGTGCCCAAGAAGACCATATCAGAAAGGACATAGGGGTCAGCCCTAAAATCAGCTTTGTGGTGAATTATCCAATTGATATGTACGTTCTATCGTTTTTCTCAACTCTCACCTCTCATAAAATCACATTTTATAGGTCTAATTACATATTTTTTTGTTTATCATAATACATGCTACTGTTTCTTTTCTTTTTTCTTTTTTTTTTTNNTTTTTTCTGCAGACAAATTATTGACCGTCTGATTTATTTTATTATATGGCTTTGCTCAGGTAGATCAAAACAGTCCCCAAGTCTTTTTTAGAGAACCCACATGATTGATAGAGGACACTGGGTAAGTTGTCGTGTTAAACCCAAACCATGAGAAGCATCTTCAGCAAGGAGAAAGGAAACTGATCTTCAAACATTCGCTGGAGGTTGAAATTCTTTGTGAGGCTTTTTCTATTGTCTTCTTATTAGATTTACATAGTTGCTTATCCTGGTCGTATTCAGATAAAGGTACGCGATTCAGTGATCCTTTCTACATGCGTATACCTTGTTCATGATAATCATATTTTCAAATAAATTGGATGTTTGTCATGAGCAACCTGGCTAAATCATTGAACTGTAGCAATGTTGGTACAAAAAATTGATTAAGATGGCCTACCCAGAACTTCAATTTGTGCTATGAGAGAAAACTAAATCTTATATATTGTTTGTGTATATATTCAGAATTATTGGTCCCTAACTTTTTTGAAACAAATGTACTCTGACACTTTGTCCGACCAGTCAGGAGTCCAACGAAAGAGGAAGAACCAAGAAGCCTACATAGGTCAAAATCTCCACTGAAGAAGACAATTGAATTCACTGACTATGGCCTTGTCGGGGATGAGGGCACGAGGTTCAAGTATTTCCTTATAAATTTATTTATTTATGTACTTAGAATACATATATCCTCTTAGACAACTTAGTTATTTCTTTATTTATGTATTTAGAATGCATATATCCTCTTAGTATGTTAATTAATTTTTGATTAACATACTTTTTGATTTTGTACAGGTAGATATTGTAGATAGTAAAAAATACTTACTTTTTGATTTTGATTGTTAATTAATTTTTCCTCTCTCTCAGACAATTTCAAGTCAAGCTACGGAAGTAGAAGCTTTAACTAAATTTCTTTAAGTATGTTGTTTTAAATACATAAACTTCATGATTTTTTTTTTAATATCTAAACATTTATACTCATTCATATGAAATTGATAATGTATAAAATGATATACGCTTATAGTGGGCCAGCTGTGCTGTGCACAGCCGAAGGCCGTCTAGTATTATTATTAAGTTGAATAGGTTTTCCATGTGAATTGGTTCTTAGAAGATTTTAGTGTGATGAAATTATGTAAGGCTGTCGATCATGGTTGTGTTGGACCTGTTGGTGCTTTAGGGCTCGAGACATTTTATAGTATGTCATAACCTTTCTAGTTAAGCTGGGGATCTTTAGTTATTTTTGTCGTTAATATATGATGCTTCTCTCGTTTGTTTAATGGTTTTCTCATTCTCTGGCAAAGTCTTTCGCTTTATCGATGCTTGTTTATGCTCAACTACATACCCATTTTCTTCCTTTTTTTTTTCTTCATTATTTGGCAGCAAGCTCTTACTCTAGTATTTAAAAGGAGCTGATTGGTTAGAACATTGGTTATACCTCAATGGTTTTTCACGGGGACAGATCTCAACAGGTAAAAAAAGTAACAAATTTTTAAACTTGATCAGGCATGGCTACTATATCCAGGTATTTGTTATTTTTTATCCAGTTTGCTATTAAACTTGATCAGGCGATGCTACAGCAGTGAAAAATTCTATTTAATTGCTGATTTATAATTTTTGTTTGGGCTTGCAGAGAGTGGCATCAGACTTTCTTTCAAATTACATATTTTGGCAATCGGAAGGATTGATTCTAGTACAGACTTAATTGTACGTTCAGGAAGGTGACAAGAAAAGCTATTTGATGGATCTTCTTCATACTCAGAGTGGAATACTATATTATATTTTATCTTACTTTATATTAATTTAATTTTTTTATTATTTTATGTTAGTTTAATTTTTTGGAAGTTATTATTAATATTAATTATTTAATTTGTAGTAAATTGGCCTATTATACTTTATTTTAAAATATTTAATTCATTTATATAAATATATATTTATGTTCAATGAATTTCACACTATTTATAGTAAAGTTTAATATATATCACATTACATATGAATAAATAAAATTAAATTAAGAAGATAATATAAATTATATAAAATCAAATTATTAAAATATAAACTTATAATAAATTAAAATATAATAAACTAAATTATATAAAATTAAATGAAAATAGTAATTAAAATAATTTATTATATTAATAATTAAAATAAAATTATAAATAATTGATAAAAATTATAATTATATTAATAATATTAAAATAAAATTATAAATAATTAATAAAATTATAGTTATATTATAATAATGTTTAATGTATTTATTTTAATTTTTTTTTATATATTCTTATATTTTATTATTATATTTTAATTTATTGAGACACTTTATTTATTATTTATTTTACTTGATCAGTTGTATACTTTATTTAATTTATTTATTGAGACACTTTATTTATTATTTATTTTACTTGATCAGTTATATACTTTATTTAATTAATTTATTGAGACACTTTATTTATTATTTTACTTGATCAGTTATATACTTTATTTAATTAATTTATTGAGACACTTTATTTATTATTTATTTTACTTGATCAGTTGTATACTTTATTTCTTTTATAATTATTATTTTTATGTTACTTTAATTAGTCTATTTTAATTTATTATAAGTTTATATTTTAATTTAGAAGATAATGTAAATTATATTAAAATTAAATTATTATAATATAAATTTATACTAAGTCAAAATATAATAAATTAAATTATATAAAATTAAACGAAAACAATAATTAAAATAACTTATTATATTAATAATTAAAATAAAAATACAAAAATTATAATTATATTATAATAATATTTAATGTATTATTTTTATATATTATAAATTAAAATTATTTATTTACATTAGAATTATTTACTAAAAATTTATAATTTGTTTTTTTATTCATATTGTATGTAAGAGATTATTTGATAAATAGTATTTCTAATTTACTTATATGAATTTAATAGTCATATTTACTTATTTTATTGTTTCTTTATAGGATACTTTTATTTATTATTTATTTTACTTGATTATTTGTATACTTTATTTCTTTTATAATAATTATTTTATGATACTTTAATTAGTTTATTTTAATTTTATTTATTTATTAATTATTAAAAATTACTGTTATATTATAATAATATTTAATGCATTTATTATATATTATTTTTATATATTCTTATATTTAATAATTTATTTAATTATGGTTAGTTATTATTATACAAACAAAAAATAATTAAAATAAAATGATAAATAAATATAAAAATTTATAATTATATTATAATAATATTTAATCTATTTATTTTAGAATTTTTTTATATTAAAATTATTTTTTTTTAATAAATAAATTTAGAAATTAAAAATATTTATTTACATTAGAATAATTTACTTAAAAATTATAACGTGTTTCAATTTTTTTATTCATATTGTATGTAAGAGATTATTTATAAATAATATTTTAATTTTCTTATATGAATTTAATAGTTATATTTACTTAATTTATTATTTCATAATAAGTTACTTTATTTGTTATTTATTTTACTTGATAATTTGTATACTTTATTTCTTTTATAATTATTATTTTTATGTTATTTTAGTTATTTCACGCAACTATATTATATTCTATTTTACTTTATTTTAATTTAATTTTTTGGAAGTTATTATTAGTATTAATTATTTAATTTATAGTAAAGTGGCCTATGTACTTTATTTAAATATATTTAATTCATTTATATAAATATATATTTATGTTCAATAAATTTCACAGTAAAGTTTAATATATATCACATTAAATATGGATAAATGAAATTAAATTTAAAAGACAATGTAAATTATATTAAATCAAATTATTAAAATATAAACTTGTAATAAATTAAAATATAATTAATTAATTATATAAAATTAAATGAAAGCAATAA